TTTTATTACTGTTATACTTATCAATTACAGCTTTAGCAAGAATAACACTGAAATAATTCAAGACTACTGAAAAAAAACGTAATAACCAGCGAAGAAAGAAACATTGATCACTAATATATTTAAAGAATCACAATAATAAAACACATTTTTTATTTTTGAGGCTGGTCACAAATATAATTTAACACCACAAAGGAACTATTCTTAAAAATAATTCTGAATGTATTAATTGAATATTAAAACGGTCTAAGAATTATGTGAATATCAACGTGATAAATTCTAGCAGAGTTTTAAGTATTTGATCGTGACGCGTAAGTAACAAATAATATTTGACTATTTATCCATATAGCATACTATGACTATTAGCCATTTCAAACGAACGTCAAATTTTCTATAATTTTTTTCTGGATTACGAATGTTCGCCGATATAGTTTTGGGTTTTATAGGTGAATTGCAGGTTTCAACATTTTTTTCATTCTAATTTTCCTGACCAGTAAGGCAAACTACAATGAATAAAATATTTATTAAGTCTTTAATGGCCTAACATATATTTTAAACTGATTTGAATAATGAAAATTCGAAATCGAAGAGAGTTCATTGAAAAGGTCTAGTAAAATAGGGAAATAAAATTTTAATGATGAAGATTAAATAATCAAAACATACAACGTGCAGTTTTTAATGGTGAGGAGTGATGTCTTTAATTATGAGTTAAATAAAATGTCGAAAGTGTTACGTCATTATTCCAAGAAACCGTAAAAAGTTTTGTCTCAAATATAAAGAAAAATAATTTATACCCGAGATAAAAAGGAAATAATACACGTTAGTGAGAGAAGAAAAGAAAGAAAGAAAAATTATAACCAATTTAATATATTGTTTTAGTTATTTAAAAGATACTTAAAACAGACTTCAAATAAGAGAACAAGAGAAAAATGAGATTAAATGCGAAATCGCTTAATTTGAATTTAGTCAAGTTCACCCGATAGTGTTTCGTTAACAAAATTATCAGTGTTGTGATTAACAATTTATTTGTTAGTGATATATTTCAGTGATTTGTGGGTGGGAAATAAATCGAGTTAAAATGTCGAATGATGGATTCATGGTGTGAAATTTTTCATAGTAATTGTTTGAGCATGCGAAGCAAGCTAATAACAAATCTCAAAAGTAATCCTTTTGTTATATATGTTTTATTTGTAGTTTTGAAAAAAGAAAAGCTATTTATTAAACTGCTACTGAAATGATATGATACGTTGTTGAATTTGTGCAGTTCGGAAATGTATGTGTGTGAGGATATTTTTGTGAAGCATGCGCCTTTCTGAGTCTTATCAAAATTTGATTTATTTAATCCATAAGAAAATATATACAACCGAAAATATATTTACGGATAAAAGGTGAATACTAATAGTAATATAACATAATGTTTTTCATTTTGAAAGCTATTGGAATTTATTTTTTAATAAGCCGACTAATGGCAGGTAACCTTTTCTTTATAAATAAATAATAATTTTGTTAAATTGCATAATTTTCAGGAATATTTTAAAAATCAAATAATACATTTTTATGATTTAATAAAATTGTATTTCTGATTTTTTGCTAGTGTATTTGCTTGTAACGTTCGCGTACATTACTAAAATACTACAGCAAGATGCGCGGGCGTTGTGCTATTCAAAACATTCTGCTAAATTTGCTTTTAATAATTTTAAAGCCTTTATCTTTTCTCATTGTCTATTAACGGATACATAACTCGGATTAATTATAAGGAATAGTTAGCTCTGAAGAAGACTATCATTTGTAAATATACAAAGGGAAAAGGAATAGTCTATTTCAAAAAATGGAATATATGAATTAAGGAAAAGGTAAAAAGATTAAGAAAAGGTACGTACTCGGGCTTACGAACACATTCAAAATGAAAACATGTTTTAATAGGTATATAAGAATGGATTAAACGACGCGAAGATATACTTTAAAAATATTATTAAAATAAACTGAAATAAACGTTCAAGGCTACTGGTATTACAAACGTAAGTGTTGATATAATAACAAAAATATTTTTTTGTCTTGATTTAAATTCGGCAAAATATCCAAGATATCACGTTAAATTGTTTATTAGGTTAGGGTAGGTATAAGATAATCGCTTTTTTGAATTTTCACAGGGGTAGAGAACATTGCAGTGGAATATCGTGATACTGTATCTAGTTGGTAAAGTATTATTGACCAATAATTTTGCAGAGTTTTATTTACATTTGTTTACATAAAATAATCCGGTACTAATTAATGAAGTGTAGCTTATATTTTTTCGTGGTAATCACTGAATTAATTTTATAGCATTTACAATTTATTGGAAAATATACTGTTTTGAATATTGTTACATAAGTAAGTATGAAAATGTTTGATGTCGAGTGACATTTTGTTTATTGCTAAATTGACTTCACTATTTTTACACTTAAATCTCTAAGCATAATATGTTGTAAATTTCAGCTGTCAACAGTAATTTTTGCAAGTATGATTTTAACAATTTTATATTTGTGTTTAACAAACTGTATGCTTATGATCAATCAATCTTTGGTCAAAAATTACTGAATTATATTACTATACTTAATGCCTGATATTTTGTGCATAACACATTTTCTATGTTTCAAATTATGTTTTAAACACAAAGTGTAGGTGTGTAATGCTCCAGATGTGCTTACTGGGAATTTGTTTGCTGTAATCACATATTTTCATAGGCGGTTGTGATATTTACCTACATTTTGACTTTGCCTTTAGCATTAGAATTACCCTTTCTTTTATATAGGACTCGCTTTCATTAAAAAGCTATATGCTGCATCTTACGACTGCACCTAGCACGAAACGGCCAAAGTATATAGATTTAAAATAGATTCAACAAGATGAACCATGAAGGAAAATTTATTATTTGAAACGGAGTTGATTTAGACAGTCCAGACAATCTTATTAAATAACGGCCGAGAATTAGAATGACAAAAACGCTCTTTTAAACCACGCACATGTGTATGACGCTGACTAATTAAATGAGATCGTTACTGTATTTGACTTTCCTCAAAGCGGAGGTAAGATAAAATTGTAATCTACAATATCTCTCTAATTTTGCAGCTTACAAACATTTAGAAGCGTTATTTGTTTACGTTTCTTTATATGCCATTACTATATTATATTTAAGTAATTATTAATTAACAAAAAGTTATAAATTCTTTTGAAAGAAATTAAAAAGCAAGTACACAAAGAAAATTCACCAATAATAAAATGGAGAAAAGGTCGTAATGGAAATATTAAATGCAAGAAAAATAAAGTGATCGGTTTTAACAATATTTAAAAGAAGAAATAAACACATATGTTCATATTTGAACAGAGTTATTAACAAATTAACAACGCCAACAAGGTGTTATTGTCAAAAGCCTATTATTTAAATTGATTTATCAACAATATGTAATACAAAATAAAGAAGAAAAATATAATGTCCTAGAAATTCGCGATGAAATTCGTGATTTTAATAATTTTGAGAATTCATTATTAAATACCTAATAAAATTCTATATGCACACATAAATTATGCTTCAAGTTCATCGAAATAGAATTCTAATAGTTTTACGAGATTACAGATGGCCCAACTTGTAAATGCTTTAAGCTGTACTGAACGAGATAGAAACTGCAAGTAAAATGCAAGTTTTAGAGTGTATGTGGTTTAGTGTAGTGTGTCATTTATGCAGTTTCATTAAAATGCTTGTTAGCTACTGATTGATGGCAAGTTTTTGTGTTTCTCAAACATATTTCTCATATTTCAAATATTTCAGAGTTTGATGTCTACTAACTGTTGTTGATAAAGGTGAAAAGTGCCTAATATTTTTGTTGAATGCTAAAGTTTATGCCAAAAAGTGGAAATAATGCATTTAAAATGTTGATTGAGTTTATTTCTTTGGTAATGGTTGATTTTTAAATCAGATCCTTGCGGAAGAGTGAATAATTCATTTGAGTCGAAATGCATTTCGAACCAGTGTTTCTCGTAGTTTTAGTAAGCTTGTGGTGTCTTTGTACAATAAGAAAAAGTTTGATGTGTCCTCTCTGAAATATACATTGTGCATTATATGGGATTTAAGGCATTTTTTTCTATTTTATGTTTTGTTTTTATAGCCTTTTTTGTACATATAAACCATTAGTACTAACAAAGCATGCTGTGAATTTCAATACTTTGTCAATGAAGGAAAAACTGATTAAAAAAATAATGTCATAAGTACAGCAATAATCGAAGGAATTCCTGTCAGGTTTTGGAAATTGAGCATATAACATGTAACATTCTTTTAGATGCATTTCGTCTCGCCTCTAGATTTTTAAATGAACAAGGTAATATATTTGCTTATGCAAACTAAATGTATAATATATTTCGTAATCCAAACAGCACGGACTAGCTAACTAGAACATTGTGTATGGTCTCATTAAAAAAATGCAACGCTGTATTTGTTTTGCCACTATGCTCAGTAATTGGTGAAAGATTTACTATTTGTTTCATTTTTTGGGAGTTCTTCACGCATTTATATCCTAAAAGTGTTTGCAATAACTTGTCACTTTGTTGTCTTGAGTTTTAGATTCTTCGTTTCCTTTAAACGCTTTATTTAGGTACCTGTGTGAAAGAGCTTTAGCTTTCTCTTTACAAATGATGACGCTTGGAGCGATTTAGTAAAATTAGACGAATGTTAATTTTTATAAAATGGACGGATATAATCAGTGGTATTCTAAAAACTCAAAATGGATCTTAACATCGATGATAACAAGTCAACATAAAGCAGACTAGAAAAAACAAATAAGGAAATTGAAAATTCGAACACAAAACAAGACAAAGGACCTTTACATAAACCAAATTTTCATAATGGCTATTATTATTAAAACTATATTGATATATTTAATTGGATTACATTAGAAGATAAACCGGCAAGATTACGAATAGGCGTATGTAGACATTAAATGGTTAAATTAAATGCATAAATAAAAATAGAATTGAAAGTACAGAACAAGAAAGAAGCAATAACACGAAGTTTACACTCATTCAACCATACTTTTTTCAGAAGAAATTTTAGAAAATGTAATAACTTTTGAATAATTATATAATAATTTTATTTAATTATGCTATTATAAATTAATAAGGTTAGTATAATTATTCGTGATATAATTTTCCGTCATTAAATTTCAGATTTACTTTTTCTATGTATAGCGGCGTCTCTCCAGGATTATTGCGTATTATGCAGGCAACCTCGATATGGAGACTTATTGAATGTAATCCCATCTTATTATACAAAAAATTTTTAATAACTACACATACTACCACTACCCATAAACGATTGATATTTTATCCCAAAAACATTACAATATGGACAGGGACTCGATTCTAGATTGTAATCGTTTTAAAATACATGCAGTCCTAGTTTGCGTTCAACATAGGTAGGTGCAGTATTAGAATTTTTAATATAATGCTATAAATGTTATATGTTTTTGATTCATCATATTATTCTCTAAGTGTAGTTTAAATTTAAGATTTAAACTAAGACCTAGACCACAAGAAGATAGGTAATTAATAGATTACGTTGTTAAATACAGAAAACACAAACGGAAACAGGAAAGTAACACGTGCAAACATTTGTACATTTAAGAATTTGCTTCTATCATCTTATTACTACTAACCTACTGAAAAGAGGTGAAGGACGGTATCTCATAAGTGAAAAGCAGCAGCAAATAAATTGCAGTAACAGTCAACCAAAACCGGGCGATGACCTAGGCTATTAAGGTTACAGGTAATCAGATGTGCGACAAATTAAGTAATATCGTATTGTTAATTTGTATTACTTAATTTAAAACAAGTTACCGGGTTACTTACCGGGGGTATGTTTTAGGATTGTTGTGTTTGACGTCTTTTTTTATGGTTTTGCTCTTATATTAAGTAGAAACGGACAGATACTACATGACGATCGTAAAATCGATAAATCTGTAAAGTTATCTTTCTACTAATATTGTTAATGTTTAACTAAAATTAAATTATATCTTAAAATTTAAATGTATTCAAACTTGAATTAAAATCTAATATAAAATGTAAAAATTGATACACAATAAAATTGCAGTCGTAATTATTTTTAATCAAAAAAACAAAATGTACGTATACAAAAATAATTAAATTTGTTGAAAAATAAAGAGAAGCGTGTATAGATTAAATTATAAATAACAAAAATGTTTCATTTATCTTTTAGATTATTTTTGGATAAAAATTTTGGATGTGAAATACTGAAAACCTATAAAATATTTAAAAAAAATGTTAGTATTTTGTAAAATGTATAATAACTAAAATAATGTTTTTTTAATAAAAGTTATAATTTAAATTTATTTAATACACAAGAAACTGGAAAAAATGTAATTCTATGTGTACGAGGAGAAAAAAATATGTATCTATTTAATTAATTTAGTTTTTTAGTTATAATACTGAACAATGAATTATATAATGTTAAAATACGAGATCGAAGTACAAAAAACGTTACAGAATCAGAAATGTTCAAATGAACTATTCTATCATCACTTGCTGAGTTTCTTGCCGGTTCTTCTCAGCAGGTGTAGGAATAGGGAACCGGTTTTTGCAAAAAAAAGTAATTAAAATAATAATATTTTCATAGACTGAAACAAAAAGTTCAAAAATAACAAATTCTTAAAAATTACCGAAAATAAATATTTTTATCAAAACCTATCCGTTGTTTTATTTCCTCTCACCTAAACGATATCTAATGTTCATTGCCAAGCACGTACTGAAAAACTTACTAAGTAATTAAAAAAAAATCCCGTAAGTACTATTAGAAGTTACAATATTGGATTTATTAAGACCTTATAGGTCTTATGTTAATCTTTATGAAACATTTGGCAATATTCATTAGACAGTTTTTACCTTATTAAAGTACTATTATCTACTATTAAAATTCCAAAACATATACTGTAATAAAACCTCAACCGTATAAGATACATAGATAAAAATTGGAAGCTAAGAAGTATTTATAGTAACAAACTATCAGTTACAAAACAATATGTATTGAACACCATAAAATTTAACAAAGTATGCAACTATATTTGATGGAGCTACGTTGCATCTGTAAGTACGATAGGTGTTGATAACCAGATAAACATTTTACTGGTTACTGGATATTCCACCTCGATCCTCAGGGGTGATGAGGCATCTACGTTTTGATTCTTAATCGAGGATAAATAAATACAGATGTCTATATATAGGTCATACCATACCTACCTTCATGTAGACCTTCAACATATATTACGAAAAATAATAAAAATTTTGAATTAAATAAATCAAATAATTAAAATCTACCGAAATTCAAATCATATCCACACTACTTTACAAATGGCATCGCAGGGTCACAGTCTCAAGGGCATAGGGCAAAGTAATTGTTTAAATATTTTTTTCAAACGCTTAATTCAAAGTTTTTATTTTATTTTTTGTAAAATATCAGTGCTACTAGCTTCTACTCCGTTCACATGTTACACCCTATTTATGTCGGACGGTAAAAAAGGTCACCAGTAAGTATATATTCTCATGGCAAACAAAACTAAAAAAAGTGCAATAAAATATTGGCACGATGGTAAACAATTAACGAGGAATGAATACGGTAATTTTTCATGTTGTATATACTCGTAGTTGCAGACGTTTCCGGATCCTATTAGAGGCACAAACTCGGTAAGTAAAAATAATTACTCAAAACGAAACAAAGATTTGTTCAAAATTTAATTCCAAACTTATTATGCTAGGAATTTTAAGTCGACTTATTCGAATAGAGGAACTCGTAAGTAAAAATGAGTTCAAACAGAACAAAATTTCCTACTTATTCTGTTTGAAATTTTGGGTTTACCTACCCGGATCCAATGAGAGAACCATGTTCGTAAGTATTATTACCATTACAATCTACAAAAGTCCACTGCTGAACATGGTCTTCCCCATAGTTTGCCTCACGGGGGGGGAGGGGGGGGGAAATGAAAAAATGAAAAAATGTTTATTTACAGCTAAGGTGGTACAGATCACAATATACAATATAAGACAATAAAATGGAAGCACAGTAGTCTTAATTCTCTAATATACAATTATTATAAACTATGATCTTATCACACCAACTAAGCTGGAGTGTATAAACAAGGGTGTATAGGTCTGTGGTCCTCACACTAGGCATGCCTGTGTCGTGAGGGCCTGATACGATTTTCTTATCACACGTGGCTTTCATTAATTGACACTGGGTCGACGTACGGTTATTACATTATGTAAGCTTTTTGTTTTTAAAATAAAATAAAATATAAAATGAAATAAATATTTATATTAAGTTAATATGTATAAAAACAAGTAATTACAGGTAAAATAATATTGTTAGTAAAGAAAATACTGTTATTCACAAATATTACAATAATTAATTAAACATATATGCATTAGAACTCCTATAGATACATATGCATATTACATACTGTATTCATATATTTTATTTACGTAAATATATGATAAAGATTACGGTTTAATTAGGTTTTCTGTACTATCGTAGCTCAGAGTTAGTAACCATTTTGTTATGGTTCTTTTAGCTTCCACCACTGATTTTTCTTTTATATCGCAATACTTGAGGACGGAGTTGTACACTTGAGTTCTCACGAATTGCCCAAAACGTTTAGAAAAAGCAGAGTTGATAGCGGGAGTTGGCAAGCGGAATACTCTTCGTTTCAACAATGTCTTATACTCTGGAGATGCCAGTGTACACTTATGAACAGTTAGGGAGGTCTTCAATATGAAAAGTTGTCTTACATTTAATAGTCCACTGTCCTTATATAAATCAAAAGTTGAATATCTATACGGCTTTTTTAACATTACTTTTATAACCGAACGTTGCGCTCTCTCAACTCTGATCAGGAAAGTTTTTGCTGCACTTCCCCAGCAAGTAATACAGTAAGTTATAAGCGACTGGCATAACGCAAAATACACAGATCTTAGAGTATTTAAGCCCGTTATGTCCCGCAAATGCTTTACAACACCAATAACCTTCCTGACTCGAGCCGAGAGAGCTATTATGTGATTTTCAAATGTCAGTTTATCATCAACGAGGACACCGAGATATTTAATTACATCGGATCTACTCAAGGTCTCACAGGCACACGATTTGCTTGTGCAAGAAGGCTCATGAATCTTTACCACTGTTTGTTGTACTGGCGCAGTGACTGCTGTCTTATGAAAGCATAAGTACACAGTCTTCTTGGTATTTAGGGTCAAGAGATTATTTTGTAGCCAAATAAAGACCTTTTTTAGACCTCTTTCAGCACTGTACAAAGCATCGTTCCACGTTGAGTCATGGAATACGATAGCAGTATCATCGGCGTAGCATATCGTTTCGGCGTTTTCCATGGGTAGGTCATGTATATCATTGATATAGACTGTGAATAACGTAGGACCAAGTATGCTGCCCTGCGGTACACCAAAAGGTACATTTTGTGGCAGACTCACAGCCCGACCAATCCTCACACACTGTTTCCGGTCCGTGAGATAGCTCTGAAACCAATCACCGGCAATACCTCTAACACCCATATAGTTTAATTTTTTTAAAAGTATTGGAATTGACACGGTGTCGAAGGCCTTGGCTAAGTCTAAGAAAACGCCAACACAGCTCTGTTTAGAGTCAAGTATTGATGATATCGTAGATGTTAAAAGGGATACAGCATCTTCAGTACATCGACCTTTTCTAAAACCGAATTGTCCTGGCGAGATCAACTGTCGAGATTCCAAATATCCGGTTAACCTTTTGTTTACAAGCTTCTCAAGTAGCTTTGAAAAAGCGCCTAATAGCGAGATAGGCCTATAATTTTCTATAGCTGTCTTTGAGCCACATCCCTTATAAATAGGACAAACAGATGCAAGTTTCCAATCATATGGAAAAACTCCGCTTTCTAGGCTTAGGTTGTAGATATAGGTGAGTGCCTGGATGATCGAATCTTTTATATGTTTTATTAAAGAGTTAGCTAAGCCATCCATACCAGGAGCCCTGTCATTCTGTAATCCCATAATCATAGCACTAACTTCTTTGGGATCAGTGGGAGTCATGAAAAATGATTCTGTGAGGTTACAATTGATTCGTATTTTACTGGCAAGATTTGTCTCAGTTTTATTAATTTTATTAAGTGTTTGATTCGCTTGGTTTACTCCTACCGTTGAAAAATAGTTATTACATAAGTCAAGTGGGGAACGTGTTATATCAGAGCATCTCATGTCTAATAATTCTGTGGAATCATTTTTACTGTTG